CGCCCCGAGCTGGAGTCACCACTTACCTAGTTAGTCAGTGTCACACCCGGAGTCGCTGCCTGTGGGAGGGAGAAGGGGGTTAGCACTGCAGGGAGCTGGTTCCTGGCCGATCCCCCCACCCCACACCACTGGGATCAGACTGGGGTGAGCAGAACGTCCCAGAGGCCCAGAAATGGCCCAGCCCAGGCAGGGACCATGGGAAGGGATCAGAAAAGGGGCAGGGGCCGGGGCCGGGCAGACCCAGTTCTGGGGTAATAACCCCCATAACGCACCAGGGCTGGAGGCTGGGTGGGGGAGCGCAGGGACCCCAGCTGGGGCGGGAATGGCCGGGGGGTTCAGGATCTGAGGGTCTTGGTATCTGGGTCCCAGCCCAGCTCTGCTGTGGGGGGGTCACACTCAGCCCCACTCCTGTCCCAGTTCATATAGGGGGTGAGGTACAATGAGCCCTCCCCCCCTGCAGCCTCCCCCCAGCCACAACCCCACCCCCAGAGTCCCTGCTGCCTGGAACGACACCCCCCTTGCAGAGGGGACCCACCCCCGGCTGGGGACTGCAGGGCGCCCTGGGGCAGGGCATGGGGAAGGCGTCTCCCCATAGAGGTCTCCGTGACCACAGCCGATCCCAGGGGGGCTGGACCCCCCAGCACTTACTCCTTCTGGATCCTTTGTAGCTGGCTGTGGGGAGAAGGGACAGGGTCAGCGTCTCTGATCCCAGGGGCTGAGTGTGCTCCCGGGGTCACAGCCCTCCTCGGAGCGGTTCCAGCCGCACCCGTCCCGTTAGACCTGCTCCTCCCCAGGGGAGCTGCCCTGGGAGCCAGGGTCCATCGCTGCCAGCTCGGCCTGGGGGGCCCTGACCCCGAGGCTGGGCGAGGAGGGGCCCATGTGGCAGGGCCCCGCTGTGGTATCTCAGGGACCGTCCCTCCCAGCTCTGCCGGGCGGAGCCTGGCCCCCGTGCGGGGAAAGGAGGGGCCCCTGGTTACCTGCTCTGCTCACAAATAACCCTCCTGGGGAGTGCAGGGTGAATCGCCAAGTCCCATTCACAGCCCCCACCCCTGAGATCCCATGCCCGCCTGGTCTCCCTGCTGGGGCCTCTGACCGGGAACTGAAGGGTTAACGGGTCACCCCTCCTGCTCCATCATTAACCCCTTACCTTCCAGAGAGGAGCTGGAGTCCCGGTTGCCGGCTGTGGGGGGAGAAGGGGGGTTAGTGTCTCCTGAACCGGTGTCGGGAGGCAGACGTCTCCCTAGGAATCGATTCCACCCTCGCCCACCCCGTCCCAGGGCTCACCACCCCCGGCCTGCCCCAGACAGGGAACAGCATCACCCGGAGCTGCCCTGGGCAGAGCCAGACAAGAGGGGCCCCCCTGTCTGGCACGGCTCAGCCCGGAGACCAGAGGGGCCTGCACCCCGCAGAGCCGGGGGCACGTCGCGCAACGCAGGGGATTGCGGGTGACTGGCTGAGCAGGGGGCGATGGGGCGTTAGCGCCCGGTCCCAGGGCTGGGCCATACACGTACACGTACACACACACACACACACACACTCACTCACTCACTCACTCACTCACCCTGAGCTGGAGTGTTGATGGCTCCGGTTTTCCCTGCAGAGACAAGGCAGATTGCAGTGAGTGCGGCTGCTCCCGGGGCAGGAACCGGCTCTGACCCGCGTCCACGGCCCAGCACAGACCGCGGGGCTCAGCGCGTGACTCAGTGTCCCAGGGGAAGCCGGGCGTAAGGAAGGGAACAGAGAGACCCAGCGCCACCCGCCCCGTCTCTGGTTCCCCCATCTCTGGCTACGGCCCGGCAGCAGCCCCCCGCGGGGCAGTCACACAACCCTAACGCAGGGGTCCCCCTCCAGATTGCTGCCGTCCCCAGGGCCCCATCGCACGCCCCACACTGAGAGGTGGCACCGCTGGCCCCCCATTACCTGAGCGCCGCCTCCTCCAGAGAACAAACCCAACTGTCCCAGCGAGCAGGGCAGCGCCAGCGACGGCCCCAATCAGCACAGGGAGTGGGGCAGAGTGGGACGGGGGCTCTGCAAGGGAACAGAGAGTGAGACCCCCCGCAACACCATGTCCTTCCCATCCCCCATTCACACCCCCCGTGGCTGTCTCTTTACCCTATCCCGTGCTCCGTACCCCCGTGGTGAGTCTGTTCCGGGAACGTCCGTTATTCTTCAAACCGCAGCGGCCAGGGGAAGCGGGCACCCTTCCCTGCTCCTTCCCGAGCGTCTCTTCTCCCCAGGGCCCAGGCCTCACGTTCCCTTTTCAATCCTTTGTT